TTCAGATCTGGATTGGTAGTGCCGCTCTCCCCTTGCCACACCACGGATGGCTTGAAAAGCCTTTCAGAAAGATGTTAGGTGGGACGGGGTCGCGCTTGGCGCCGATGCGAGCAAGGACATCCGTCGCTTGATTACTTTCTCGAGCCACATGGTGAAACTCGAGCCCCTCGAACCGAGCCAACATTTTGAGAACAGCGTTACAGTAAGCCGCCATCTTCGGATCTTTGGCATCGAAATCTCCATTTATTTGAGATATTGCAAGGTTTGAATCCCCGCGCACTTCCAGACGTTGTATGCCCATGGAGACGGCCATTTGAAGACCATGCGATAAGGCTTTGTATTCGGCTGCATTGTTGGAGTCCTTGAATAATATTTGTAGGATGTACTAAACAGTAACTCCAGTAGGGGATGTTAGGACAACGCCCGCCCCTAGGTCTGCCAGCATTTTGGAGCCGTCGAAGTGCATGACCCAATTGGAATACGTGTTGTACTATTTAGGGAGTTCGGCCTCTGTCCATTCGGCGACGAAGTCAGCCAGTACTTGAGATTTAATGGCCCGCCGTGGTTTGTATGTAATGTCAAATGGGAGGAGCTCAATGGCCCACTTGGCAATCCGGCCCGTGGCATCGTGGTTATTTATTATGTCATTGAGTGGTACTTCGGAGGCCATCGTTATGGAGCATTCTTGAAAGTAGTGTCATAGCTTCCGGGATGCCATGAAGACCGCGTATGCTATTTTTTGGTAGTGTGGGTACCGGGATTTGCATGATGTGAGGACGGTGGATACGTAGTATACCGGCTTCTGAATCAGGAATTTGTGTCTGTCCTCCTCTCATTCGACGACGAGCATCGCACTCACTACTTGGTGTGTGGACGATATGTATAATAACATAGGTTCTCCGATGTTTGGCGTGGCCAGGATTGGGTTGCTTGCTAGAAGAGCCTTTATTTCTTCCAATCCGTCCGTTGCCGCATCTGTCCACTCGAAGTGATCGGTGCGCCGGAGAAGGCAATAGAGCAGCAATGCCTTTTCTCCTGGTCTGGAGATAAAGTGGCTTAAAGGTACCACACATTCGGATAATTTTTGGACTTGTTTAAGGTCTGTTGGCATAGCGAACTGTGACAAAGCTCGGATTTTAGCTGGGTTTTCCTCAATTCCTCTATTGGAAACGATGAAGCCCAGAAGCTTTCTGGCGACAAAGCTCGGATTTTAGCTGGGTTTGCCTCAATTCCTCTATTGGAAACGATGAAGCCCAGAAGCTTTCTGGCGGGAACGCTAAAAAACACATTTTTTTGGATTGAGCTTAATATCATATGTTCGGAGGTTGTCGAATGTAAGACTCAGATCATCTATTAATGACTCAAATTGTCTAGTTTTGATGACTACGTATGCTTCAACTGTCTTGCCGATTTGTTTCTCCAGGCATGTTTGAATCATGCGTTGATAGGTGGCACCGGCGTTTTTAAGCCTGAAAGGCATAGTGTTGAAGCAGAAAGGCCCATATGGGGTTATGAAGGCCGTTGCGGCCTGGTCGGACTCGTTCATCTTGATTTGATGGTATCCGGAGTATGCATCGAGGAAACACAGTGAGTCGTGTCTTGCGGTAGCGTTGATGATCTGATCATTGCGAGGGAGGGGAAAGGGATCCTTAGGGCAAGCCTTGTTGAGGTCTTTGAAATCGACACATAGGCGCCAGGATTTATCCTTCTTTGGTACCATCACCATGTTTGCCAGCCAGTCCGGGTGTTTTATTTCTCTGATGAATCCGGCCTCGAGTAACTTGGCTAGCTCCTCTCACATAGCTTGTCGTTTAGGTTCAGAGAAGTGCCGTAATGTTTGCTTGACCGGCTTATATCCCTTCGGTATGTTTAGGCTGTGTTCGGCCAGCCTACGTGGGATCCCTGGCATATCAGAAGGGTGCCAGGAGAATATGTCCCAGTTTTTGCGTAGGAACGCCTGTAGTGCGGCATCGACCGTGGGGTCCAGCTGTGCCCCGATGGATGCTGTCTTTGTGGAGTCCGTAGGGTGGACTTGGAATTTGACTATTTCATCTGCTGGTTTAAAGGAGGTGGGTTTGGATCGCTTGTCGAGTATCACGCCGTCCCTACCCATCATGGAGCGCAATGCGGTTAATTCTTTGGCCGTGAGGGCTTCAGATAATGCCTTGAGGGCTAAGGCGGCAGTTTTGTTTTCGGCGCGAAGTGTTATGTCTGGATCACTAGCAAGAGTGATGATTCCATTGGGCCCGGGCATCTTGAGCTTCATGTACCCGTAATGGGGTATAGCTTGGAAGCTTGCAAATGCATCTCGCCCTAAAAGGGCATGATATCCACTGTTAAAAGGGGGCACTTGAAAGGTTATCTCTTCGGACCGATAGTTCTCTGGCGTGCCGAATGCCACCGAGTGTGATTTTTCCTACACACCGTGCCTCCCGACTGGGAATAATTCCTCGGAAGGTCATGCTACTTTGCTCAATGTGGCTCCTGTCTATTTCCATTTTGTTGAGAGTTTCCTTATAAATGAGGTTTAGTCCTCTGCCGCTGTCCGTGAGAAATTTGGTAAGCCGAAAATCATCCACGATTGGACTGAGGACCAGTGCGGCAGGTGCCCGGACTATTCTAAATTTTGGTTCGTCACTGGCATTGAAAGTTATGGCCGTGTCATTCCAGGGGTTTATTGCTGCAACTTGGCGGACTTCGGCGAGGCCACGGAGTGCCCTTTTGCGCCTGTTGTTTGAGGCGAAAGTCTTGAAGATTGTCAGCACTGTATGGTTGTTGTCTCCCGTGGGATGTTGCTCTGCGATATTTTTGGTGAGGAGATCCTCGCCGCTCTTGGTCACCTGCCGGAGTATCCAACATGCTCTAAGGCTGTGGGTTGGCATGATATCCAGTGTTGTGTGTATCTTGCATGGCCTATCGAGCCATCCCTCCAGAACGGTTCCGCGCCCCGTAATGGGCTTCAATTTTTTCGTTGTTGGATCAGGCGACCTACGAGGGTGCATCCTTTTTGTTCGGACTAGGGGTTTAGTGGAACCGGCGGCTCCCAAGGGGCTGCCTGAGTTTTCCAGGCGCTTTCCTTTGCGTAGTACTTCTGTACTATTGCTGCCAAGTCAGCGAAGTGTGATACATGATGGCGATTGATTGCATTGAGGATTCCCTCGTCCGTGCAGTTTTTGCAGAATAATGAGATTGCGTCTTCATCACGGCAATCCTTGATCCTGTTCTTGACAAGGAGCAATCTGGCCCAAAAGTGATGGACCGTTTCCTGGGACTGCTGTCTGATGTGGGTAAGATCGTTTGTATCTGGGTGGGTGGGTGGATTTAAGTCCGAACCCTGAGCCAACCTGAAATCCGGAGTTTGAGAAATTTCCGAGCTTAGCAGCTCGGGCTCCGGAATATCAACCAATTTTTCAGGCCCACAGTCCGACTCTAGGTTCGGAATACGGGGCGTGTCTGCCCGTGGGTGGGTATCCGGCTCTGTGAGCTCGGAAATCCGAACATAGTTCATCCTCAATATAGAGGATGAGTCGTCGCATTGTTCCTCCACTACCGCTATCTGATGGGTGATCGGTGGAGATTCAATTTCTCTCTGATCGGGTTTAAGCCCAATCCGATCGTAGTCTGTAGCAACTCCCAAGGCGGCGATGCAATCCAGGAGTTCATTTAAAGATGACAACTCCATCGGATCCATCTGTTTGGAGTATTCTGAATTGACGCGGATGCGATTTTCGATGACCCGAGAAGTCATCGTCGGCCCGACGGCCGAACGGGCGGCCATGGTAAAGCTGCCCAGCCGGAGGGTTTGGCCAAACCAGGGCTCCCCGAAGGTGATGTTGTCCTTGATAACAAGGCGAGCCATCAAGCCTATCTTCGACGTCACAGCGGAACTCTCAATGAAAGCACCAATGTCGGTGTCAAAACCGGCGGATCTCGGGTAGGGAGTCCCGAGCTGTGCGTCTAAGGCTAATGGTAACAGGAGGCGGGGGACACAATGTTTCCCAGGTTCGGGCCCTCTCTATGGAGGTAATACCGTACTTCCTACTTGATTGATCTTGATGAATATGAGTATTACAAGAGTTGATCTACCACGAGATCGTAATGGCTAAACCCTAGAAATCTAGCCTATGAGATTATGATTGTTGTCCTATGGACTAAACCCTCCGGTTTATATAAACACCGGAGGGGGCTAGGGTTACACAAAGTTGGTTACAGAGAAAGGAATCTACATATCCGAATTGTCAAGCTTGCCTTCCATGCAAAGGAGAGTCCCATCCAGACACGGGACAAAGTATTCTATCTTGTATCTTCATGGTCCAACAGTCTGGCCAAATTATATAGTCCGGCTGTCCGAGGACCCCCTAATCCAGGACTCCCTCAGTCCTCACCTCCAGAAAACCTGCAGAGCCTCAAGTTGAAAAGCAACCTGGTGAAACTGCCGGAGTGGATCCAAGGACTCAAAAATCTCATGAAGCTGAAGCTAGAGAGGTCGAGGATATCAAAGCATGATGCAGCCATACTAGTCCTCGGGAATCTACAAAACCTGGCCACCCTGCGTCTATTGCATGACTCTTTTGCTGGTGAAGAGGTCTGTTTCAGTTTATGTGGGGATACATTCCCGAGCCTGAAGGTCATGGAGCTGTATTGCACAAGAAACCTTAGGTCGGTGTGATTTGAAGAAGGAGCAGCCCCTAAGCTTGAGTTGCTATAGTATTCTAAAGTGAGGAGTAGTCCCAGTGTTGGGTTGTTCTGTGGGTTACCACATCTTCCAAGCCTCAAGGAATTTATGCTGGCTAGGAGGGACTGGCATGATACCATGTTGGTGGAGGACCTACGAGGCCAGCTCGCACAGAATAAGAACGGGCCCGTTTTGAAGAGTTATAGTACTCCATCCGTCCGAAAAAGCTTGTCCTTCAAATGGGTGTGTTTAGCACAAAATCAGTGCTAGATACATCCGTTCGAGGAACAAGCTTGGGACAAGCTTTTTTCGGACGGAGGGAGTAGCTAGCTGTACTCTAATGTCCTTTTTTACTATACCTTAACATTCAAGTATTACGTCCCTCTCTTGTAGTATTTCCTTTTGTACCTTACTACAATATATACTCCATAGCTACAACGGTGATTTTATATGAAAAAGAGGCATTCATGATAACTTTGATTTATACAGCACAATTCTCCCTTTTTTTGCTAAAAAAAGTGAGGAAAAATGCAAAAAAATAAACATGTGGTTTTTTTAATAATAAAAATAAGAAGTACACAATTTAGATGGGCCAACCCATTTTACATTACAACCCCAATAATGACCCAAGCCCATTGTGTTGATGGATCATGGACTCATCTTCTCTTTCTTTATCAGGAGCCCAACAGATCCCGGAATGGGTTACTCTACACTACGTAGTTTTTCCATCCTATAAGCCTCTATAACGTGATTTACAAAATTGTTGCCAAGTGCCTTGACAACAGGTTGCGACCAATATTGGATGACATCATATCACCCACTCAGAGTGCGTTTGTATCTGGAAGGCTGATCACAGACAACGTTCTTCTTGCTTTTGAATGCTTTCATTTTATCAACCAGGAGAAAAACTGGATAACAGTTTTTGCGCATACAAACTAGACTTATCCAAAGCGTATGATCGCGTGGATTGGAGGTTCTTGGACCAATCTATGCAAAAGATGGGCTTCGCTCACCGGTGGATACAGTGGATCATGCCTTGTGTGATCACGGTGAGGTATCAGGTTAAATTTAATGGAACTCTCTTGGATTCCTTTGCACCGTGGCTTCGACAAGGCGACCCTCTATCCCGTTCTTATTCCTGTTTGTTGCTGATGGTCTGCCATCACTATTGAGACAGGGAGTGGAGACAAATGCAATTCAGCCAGTCAAAATATGTCGAGGTGTACCGGACATCTCTCATCTGCTTTTTGCGGACGACACACTTCTTTTATTTAAAGCAAACAAAGAACAAGCTGAAGCTATAAAGGATATTGTCCATGGGTATGCATGTGCCACGACCATCTAATAAACCCTCAAAAATGCTCTATCATGTTTGGTCCTAGCTGTCCGGCTACTTGCCAAGAGGAGGTAAGGAGAGTGCTCCAGATCCCCGTGGCAGCGTTGAAAGTAAATATCTCGGACTGCCAACTCCGGAAGGGCGCATGCATCGGGGACACTTCCAAAACCTCCGACAAAGGCTGACCAAGCGCATTATGATATGGGGCGATACTCTGTCGCATGCAGGGAAAGAAGTCATGATCAAGGCTGTCGCATAGGCCCTACCAACTTATCTTATGGGAGTTTTTAAACTGCCTTTCTCGGTCTGTGATGATCTGACTAGATTCGTAAGCAACTTTTGGTGGGGCTCAAAAAAAGGGAATCGTAAAACACACTGGTCTTCGTGGGACCCACCAGAAGAAGCCACCAACAACTGAAGCATCTACACGGTTCTTGTGTAGTTATATTGAATCGATATTGTGTCTTCAGCAGCATCCTCATGGAGATCTTGTGAAGGGGGAGATGGTGGTCACATGTAATATGGGCAGACGTAAGAAGGAAATGCATGGCCTGGCCATGGTCAGCGGACGCCCACCTGACCACTGGACGCCACCGCTGGTCGGTTGGAATAAGCTGAACGTCGACGAGCTTTTCATGCGGATGCTAGCGAGGAAGGTGCCAGCATTGTCCTCCGAGATGAAGAAGCAGGGGCTGGTCTTTTCTTCATGCCGATATTTGTACGCTTGTAATAGTCCCCTTGAAGCTGGCTATCTGCATGCGCGGAGGGCATCGCTCTCCCCCAAGAATGGTGCAAAACCTTTCATTATCGAGACTGATTCGGAGGTTGCAGCCAAGGCGATCATGGAGGTGAAAGTCGGCCGCTCACCAAATGCTGGCATCATCGGTGAGATTTCACCATCTCGACAGTATGATGCTCGTGCAACGGCGTGGCTCATGGTCTTGCTCAACTAGGTCATCGTAACAAGCGCGCTGTCGTGTGGCTTAAGTCAGGTCCCTCGGAGATTGATTTGTTGCACACAAACGAATGTAACCTCCTTTTTCTCGCAAAAAGAAACACATATTAAAGTTTGATCAAGTTTAGAGAAAAATATATGAACGTCTACAACATCAACTATATACTCCCTCCGTTCCGATTTACTCGTCGTGGTTTTAGTTCAAATTTGAATTTGAACTAAACCCACGACGAGTAAATCGGAACGGAGGGAGTACAATAGAAATGCTCCTTTTATAATGTTTGATTGATATACTTGATATACTCCCTTCGTCCGGAAAAAAAACATAATTTTTTTGACTTAAGATAAACCTAGAACTTCAAGCATCAAGAAAAAAAGGCATTGGTGGAGCTTTGGTTCTTTGCACCGACAGACAGCGTGTTCTAATCAGGAACTAATCGCTACGGCTAGACGCCACTAGCAGCAACGGATTACGGCCGACAGACCGCAATCCGGGAACATTCTCGGTCAAGCCCCCCGTCCCCCCAAAACATTATGCGGTCAAGCCCCTGCATGCTACTGTGCGGCGCGCGCGCGAGAAGGCCGAGGCCCTTTCTGCAAAACGGCCTGGCAGGCGTCAGCCGATAAGCCAGCCCACCGGCAGCTGTCAGCCCGCTAGCTACAGCTACAGCTCCACTCCCTCACCTCACTCCAGTCCTCTCCCCTCCCCTCCCTCTCTTTTGCGCGCTGGCCCCTGCCGTTTCGGACCCGCCACGCTCCGGTCCCCCGCTCCGCCGCCGCCGCCGTCCGTCCCCGTCGCCCCACCTCCTCCGCCCCGTCAGGTGAGCGACCGGCTTCCCCCCTCCCCCACCCTCCGTCGACGCGTCCTTGACCTGTGCCGGCCGGAGCTCGGCCGGGCTTGCCTGGCGCGTGCATTTTTCCGTGCGAGATTGGGTTCTTTGGGGAGTCCATGTCCATCCTCTCTTGGATATGGTTTTGCTTTTGCCTGTTTCTATTCCCATTCCCCAGGAGTATCTTAGCGCCGTTGCTTCCAAAGATTTGTCCCCTTTGGTTGATAATAGATAGTAGATGAGTAATGGCGGTGGCGAGAGCTACAGTAGTATACTCGGTTGAGATTTGGGGGCTGTCTTGCTCTTGTAATGCGCCCGTAAAGCTAGGTTTTCCTTTCTATTTTCCACGGATTTTTTAGGGGGGTTTCCCGCTTACGATTATCCCCACGTCCTTGCCAGATTTGGCTGTGCATAATTGGGAGGTTCTTATAGATATAGAAGAATCCCTAAGTAGAATATCCTTGATTAATTATGTTAAATATAGACGGGGAACAGGGCGGGGGAGCCATGCATTTATGCAACAACATCATCTACTACAGTACTAATGTTCAGACGTAGGAGTAGATAGAGCAGCAGATTCCTCTGACAAAGCTGCTGCTGCTTTTTTCACAAGCTGCAACTTTTGGGTGCTAAAAGAGCTCATCTAGCAGAGGATAAGAGCAAGTGGGCTATGGACTGGTAGCATGTTTGTTTCAGATTTTGACTCTGCAGAATTTTTTTAACTACAATTCCTCTGTATGATTTTGCTGTTGTTTCTTCTTCTTGAAAAGGAATGTTTTGTTGTTTAATAAAACCTTGCTTCAAGAACTTGAGTTATTGCCACACCTGCATCATTTCTCAAGAAAAAAGAAAACCCAAATGTTTGTGCAGGATTTGGTGCTAACTTGTTTTTTCTTCTCTGAATCCTACCCCAAAATGAGCAGAGGAAGCTGCGGACTGGCATGACCTAGGGGGGCCATGGAAGAGGCAGACAAGGACCGCAATTCCTGCAAGCGCCTGCGGGCGGTGGGCGGCGGCGGCGACTCGGCGGATGCGTGGCGGAGTTTCCGGGTGGCGCGCGCGGCGGCGGGCGGCAAGGACCGGCACAGCAAGGTGGTGACCTCGCGCGGCCTCCGCGACCGCCGCATCCGGCTCTCGGTGCAGACGGCCATTCAGTTCTATGACATCCAGGACCGCCTGGGTGTCGACCAGCCCAGCAAGGCCATCGAGTGGCTCATCCAAGCCGCCGCCACCGCCATCGATGGTCTCCCGTCGTTGGACTGCTCCTTCGCCTTCCCTGTCGCCTCCCCAGCAGCAGAAGACACCGCGGAGGTCAGCACCTCGGAGACCAGCAAGGGCTCCGTGCTCTCGCTCGCCAACGGCCCTGCCGACAATGATAATGCCGCTCACCAAGCCAGTGCATACAACGGGGGCAGTGCCAATGGCACGTTTGCCGGGCTCCTGCACTGCTCCAACGCCGCCGACAAGCCAATGCAGCATCAGCATCAGCAGCAGCAGCCGACGCTTGCCTACTACGCCGCCCCGGGTTCGCACATCGCGCCCATGTCCTTCGAGATGATTCCCCAGCTCACCTTCTCCCAGGACCAGCAGCACTGCCACCACCACCACCACCACCACCATGCCTCTGTCTCCTTCGACAGGAGCACACTTCAGTCCAACACCGTCTCCACGCCTCAGTGGCCCCCGTCCCAGCACCCGTTCCTGATGCAGAGGTTCTCTGCTGCTCCAGCCGAGCCTTCGCCTATGTTTCCCTTCTTTCTTGGAGGCAACAACGCTGCTGCTGCGGCTGCTCCTGCGGCGGCCAATGCGCCGGAGCGGAGGCTGCAGCTCTGGGACTTCAAGGAGGAAAGGAAGACATAGTTTCTTCTTGGGAGGTGAGTTGTTTCCCTGCAAAAAATAAATAAACTTTTAGAGTAGTTTAACTGCACCTGTTCCATTGTCATTGTTACACTGAGATAAAAATCTTGCATGAATCGCTATTGGTCATTCAATGCATAGGCTGCTGCTAGTTTATTTGAATTTGAATTGCTCCAGGGTCCAGACAATGTCATTTACAAATGTGGTACTCCAGAGTCCAGACGAAGTCATTTCCAAAAATGGAGTAGTTAATTTCAGAACTTAGCCAGCAGTAGCCAACCAAAGGGAGTGTTTTCTCAAGAAAATAAAGCTGATTGTAGCTGCCAAATTGGGGCTGGTACACTGCTATTCCAACTTCCAAGTTCCTAGAGAATAGCATTGCTAGAAAGCAATAGATATACCATACTAAATTTAGCCAACCTTAGGAGATGCTTCTTACAGAGGCCATGCGGTAGCAGATTTACTGAATTCAGACTACTTGCTGCAACAGTGTGCAGCAGTCCAATTTGGCAACTCAGGGATTTTGATAGACATGCTGAAATACCTATTCTTGAACGACTGATTTTGGATTCCTTTTGTGGAAAATATTTTGGGAGTATTTTATTTGGCAACTGTGAATTTCTAAGAAGTTTCCAACTATAGTTGTAGTTAAGAACGGCTCCTCTTTTCTTTCTTTTTTTTTTTGCGAACAAGAATGGCTAGAGTTTAGGCTGGTAAACTTGTCCACCAGTGTTCGAATCCATGGGGTGCTAATGTGTGTAATCCACAGAAAGGTCTCTCATATTCTACCTAACAACGTAAAGGGAGGGATCCCCGTGATCGGCCCCCCTTTAGTCACATTTATTTTTGTTGGGAACTTCAGATCGTAATACTTGAGAGTCAATATTAGTACATCAATCATGCTGCAGCCATATTAACTGCAAAAATTGAGTTATTTGACAATTTTCTTCACCACACAAGATCATCTACTACAGTACTATATATACTGCAATATGCATCATTTCTTATCTGCATTCCGATGTTCTAACCGCAAGGCCATCATTTGCTAATAATATGTTCTTTTGCCCCCGATTTCATTCAGATTTGGTGTTCTAACTGCACAGTCATCATCTGCTAATATTTTCTTTTGCCCTGATTTCATCCAGATTCGGCGGTGTACCAAACTACCAAGTCATATGATCCATTCAGCACAGCAAAACCCAGAAGGAGAGAAGATGCAAGGCAACGAAGGAGTCGGCGCCATGGAGCCGCGTGGAATGCAATCGCTTTGCTGGATCTCCGAATCTTCTCCGCGCGGTTTTCGTTTTGCCGTTGTCATCCTCTGACCTATGTTTTTGTGATCGGAAACCAAATGTTTTTGAGCTGCACTCTGTTGCTGTGCCCTCTATCTTTCTCCTTACGAAAAAGATGTTTTTTTTTAACTTTCTGGCGAGGAACAGAATTTCGCGCTTGCATGGATGCTGGTGGCGTGTACTGAGTGGCATAAGAATTTCTCGTGTACCTGGGGGCATTAGCAGATGGTAATCCAAACATGAATGATTTCTTTCACCTGATGATTATCAGTCTTATCACAACAGCGCCTTGTACTGCCTTCATTGACTGGACTCGTAAAAAATTCTTGGTGCAGTCGTCTAAAAGTCGAAGAGCCATACCAAGTTCTGTACCATAAGCTAAAAAAAACTGCGATCCGTCTATCTGAGTGGAGCAAGAACTTGTTCTCCAAGGCTAAGGTTCAGCTCCATGCGGTGAGAACCTCCCTATATGCGGATGATGCTGTTGTTTTTCTGGCTCCTATCAAAAGGGACATTGACAATCTTGCTTCCATCTTGAGAGGTTTTGGCGAAGTGACAGGTCTATGCACCAACTTTCAGAAAAGCTCCGTTGTGCCAATTCGATGTAGTCATCTTAATCTTGGGCACACTCTTCTGAGCTTGCCTGCAACTCGTGCTACTTTCCCGGTGAAGTATCTTGGCTTGCCTCTCTCTGTTTGGCAGCTCAGAAAGGTGGATTTTCAATACCTTGAGGACAAGGAGGCGAGCAAATTGGCCACTTGGGACGGCCAGGACAAGGCGGCGAGCAAATTGGGCGGCGAGCAAATTGGCCACTTGGGACGGCCAAAATATCACTACCATCGGCCGCACGACACTTGTCAAATCGGTCATTTCATCCCAAGCGATCTACTCAATCACGCCTCTCATTGTGCCGCCAAGTACGCTCAACAACCTAAATAAATTGGAGAGGTCGTTCCTATGGTCCGGTGCGGTAAGACAACGGGAGCCAAATGCAAAGTCAATTGGAAAATAGTTTATAGGCCAAAGGAATATGGTGGCCTGGGGGTACTCAACACCGAAGAATTTTCGCGGGCTTTACGTCTTCGTTGGCTGTGGTATGAATGGAAGGAGCCCCACAAGCCTAGGGTGGGGTTTGGTAACCCTTGCACCGCCTAGGACCTCGAGTTTTTCTACGCCTCTACAATCATCATTGTGGGTGATGGTGCAAAAACACCGTTCTGGGACTCCCCTTGGTTATTTGGGCGGAAACCCATGGATATTGCTCCATTAATCTGCGAGGCTTCAAGGAGAAAGAATTGGAAGGTGCGTGAAGCCCTCTATGAGAATGCATGGATTCTCAAAATCAATCCAAACATTGTTATCTCCATTCGCCACATTAGCGAATTCTTCACTCTTTGGATGCTTGTTCATGACTTCCCCCTTGACGACCAAGCCGAAGACCACATTACTTGGAAGCACGCGAACAATGGGATCTACTCGGCGGCCACTGCGTACAAGGCTCTGTTCCTTGGATTGACTCTCTCTCCCATGGACCGTATGGTTTGGAAGGCTTGGGCACCCCCTAAGGTAAAATTCTTTGCGTGGCTTGCCCTGCAAGACCGAATTTGAACCGCCGATCGATTGGAGAAGTGTGGTTGGGTCAATTGTGGTCTCTGTCCACTATGCAAGAGAGAGCAAGAAACGGGGCCACACCTCTTCTTCAAGTGTTGTTACACTCTTAGGCTTTGGAGATCTATCATCGAGAAGCTTGGGCTACCTCACGTCAACATTCCCGATTGGCATCTTGATGAATCCGTCAAGGAGTGGTGGGTCAAGCGTACCGATGACCGAAACCCGAATTGGCATGCCATGTCCTCTCTCGTCATGCTCACCTCTTGGACCATTTGGAACGAGCGAAATGCTAGGGTATTTCGGCAAAAAATTGTGCCACCGCCTATTCTCCTCCAAACCATCATTGGTGAGGCAAAGTTATGGGTTACTGCCGGCGCCAAGAAGCTAGGGACTATCATTGTATGTGAGTAATTGTCATGTCGCTTGTATGGGGTGTCCTGTAAAACTCTAAACTCTATTCTCTCCTTATTTAATAGATGAGGCAAATCTTATGCCTCCGTTTTGAAAAAAAGAAGTCGAAGAATTTTTTATGCAGTTGCTAAAAAAAAAACCTTGGTGCAGTTGTTTAAAAAGTCATGAAAATAAAATAAAATCAGCACGTACTGCCACTGCTTGTGAACCTTGAAATGCAAGTCGTAATCGATCATTTAAAAAAATGAAGGGACATTTGAAGGAAGGAAGCGTTCGTTCAAAGATGAATGATGCACCAATCATCATCCACCGTAAATGAACCATTTTCCTTTTGAGAATGATGGCCCGCCGTAAATCGAACAGTCGTTAGTCACAAGCCCATGGGCCTTACAGCTGACCTGTATGAGGAGGAGATCCACCGTAAATCAAACACTCACTCAGCCCACACACACGCGTCAGAGGAGCATCTGAGCCCCTTTTCTTTGACACTGGCCGCAGCTGGTTTTGTTTAGTCCCATACTGCTGGCCGCAGCGGAGGGCGAGCCTTCGGGCGCTATAAAAGAGGGAGCGGGTGCGCCGTTGGAAAGCATGATCCTTCAGGCAGCAAAAGGGAGATGATGAGTGGTATCAGCTCGCTACAATGCGAGAGGGGTGTCCGCCCCAACCAAGCCTGTTACGACAATGGGGCGCCCCAGTGACTTACCATCTGATCCCGAATTCCATTTTTTTAATTGATTAATTGATGAAATGTTTTTTTCCTTCTCTTGCTGAATTTGTTTTTTTTTTCCTGCTTTGGATTTTTGTTTTCTCAGTTTGCTTTGCTGTTTTGGAAGCGGTTTCTTTTTTGCCCTTCGAATTTTGTACAATAACTGAGTACATAACTGAGTACTCCATAAACAGTAGAATACGCACATACAATAACTGAGTACGCAAAACGAATTATGATAATCCACCTTAATTTCAAACATGGCCCGGGCATAGTCTTTCTGTTAATTTAAAGTCCAGTGATGAAGAAATTATCTGAACGAGACTATCCTAAAAAATATTCTGATTGAGAGACGTCGTTATAAGATGGGAGTTTTACGTCGTTCACAAGGATGCCCTTCTCTTGTTCATCCAATACAATAAATTTTGGCACGCACATCGTAAATCCTAATTGTGAATGCTTTTGAACAAATTATGAGTTGATTTGCAATTTCTACGATAACAGGACATGATCCATACGAGAAAATGCTCCTTTTAAGGCAGATAATATTTTTTTTTTCAATCCATAGAGATATAGTTCAAAAATTTGGCAGCTAATGTGTTCTCTATAGGTAACACAAAAGGCATGAACAGTCGTATTTTGCTGCAAATGTTTACGTAAATGCAAACTTGCACAGGTTACTATGTTTCTCACTGGAAACTAATTCAAAATATTTCTATATGGACTGAAGTAATAATCTGTATTATAGAACCCTTAGAAAATAAAAACTTTCATATATACTCCCTCCGTTCCTAAATGTAAGTCTTTTTAGATATTCCAATAAGGGACTAAATACGGAGCAAAATGATTGAATCTACACTCTAAAATATGTCTGTATACATCCGTATTTAGTCCATAGTGGAATCATTAAAAAGACTTATATTTAGGAACGGAGGGAGTACAACATCTACGTGTTGTCAAATGCAAAACTCTGATTTGTTCAA